CACCGTGAGAAACTCAAATCGTCCGCCTTCTTGCCCAGAAGGACCGGGAGGCCCCGCAACCCTGGCGTTGCCCGGGTGGGGCACGGCGGGCAAGCCTGGGCACAAAGTCGGATCAAGGCGACCCGCGAGTACAGAGTGGGCCAGAAAGGGTCATGCAGAAGAAATTGAGTGAACCCAAAAAGCTATGAAGCTTTCCGATTGCACGTCTCTGTACGCGAAATGGATGCTCACATACAAACACATGCACATGTCTGGATTCAAACATGCGAAGAAGGCACGTCTGCACATTAAATAAGAGAGGGTGCATGGATCAGGCCACGAACGACAACGCCGGAGTCGTCTTTGGAAAGACTCCGGGGCTGCTGATATTGCTGGGGTCTCGACACGGCCACAGCAACTGCCCGGCATGTTGGAGCTGCCAGCCTCAAAGCTGGTTTCTTGATGGTTCCGGATGTCAACCTCTTGACCTTAAAGGAATTCCAGCTGTGATGTATGTCGGTCTTCACGCGGCCGCGGGGCCTTGCAGCTGTTCCCGCTCATCTGCAGACTTCCGCAGTTGCCGCTGCAACCTCCCATGCGCTGTCCGCAGCCACCGCAGCCACCTCCGCAACCCCCAGAACCTCCACAGCCGCAACCCATAGCCATCATAGCCATGCCAGGATTGGGAAGGCTCGGCTCGGTAGGCACACTTCCTTTGCCTCCCTTACCCTTGCCACCCTTTCCTGCGCCTTTTTTCTGAGGGGGCTTGCGTGCTCCTGTGCCGCCAGTGACCTGGTGCGCCTTCATTCTCCCGCTTCTCTTGTCAACCACCTCGCTGTACTGCACATGATCCCCCTCATTCAGCGGGGCGTCGATCACATCGCTGCCTCATCAAAAATGCTTTCAGGCTTAAGAAGCAGAACGCCAAACAGCCATTTCCCAATGCTCAAACCACACTGTGCAAGATAAGCCACGATGGACGAAGAGGTCATTGCCACCACCATTCTGCTTGATGAAGCCAAAACCTTTCTCATCGTGGAAGAACCTCAGAAATCTGCCGATGAGCCCGATGAGACACGATTCCACCCCTAACACAAGGTCTTCATGGCGAGATGAGGAACTTGACCACGCCGGACTTGATGCCACAGCCACCCGGCATGGGTGCGGCCTTTCCTGGCGAGTGATGAAGACAAATTGCCCTGGATCTGCGCCTAGGGCAAACTGACAAAGTTACGCCATGCCGAGGAAGCCTGCGCCAAGGCCGCAGCCCCCACCTCGGCCGGGATAAGTGCTATACGCGCGTACACACATAATCGGTCATAGGTATACTCTCATGGGGAAAGAAACATAGATAGATAGGCAAATAGATTATAGGTTGATGGATGGACAGAAAGATCAGCATAGGATAACATGGAACAGATGATATCTATATCTGTATTGTTTATATCTACGCTACATTTGCTTGCTTGTTCATCTAAAAACATACCTGAGGCAGACGCCTAGCATCAAGCCGCAAGGAGCCGGGCTGCCCCAAGGGCTGCAGCCGCAGCCACCGGGAACCGGTCCGGCAACAAAGCCTCTGTTCAGAGGTTGCGGGCTTGAGGTTCTGGATTTGAGGGTTTTGGGGAATATGTGCGACAGAACCCACCAAAGACTGTCCTGGAAGCTGCTTTTTTCAAAGACTTACACTTGTGCTAAAGGCACACGAATTCAGTGATAGACTCAGAAACCTCTTCGAGACAGTGGCCTCCTCCCTTGCCCTTGTTGCCTGTCTTGCCCTTTCCTCCCTTGCCACCTGTGGCACTAAGGAGATCAAACGAGACGTAACTGAAAGATTGACTCTGTGCATGCCACATGTCCACCTTGTTTTCCGTCTCTCGGATCTCCTTTGCCACCTGCAGACCCATGGCACTCGGGATCGGGGATTAGGGCCTCAGGCACTTGAACAGGATGCCTGGTGCAGGTCCAGATCCTCCGGCGACGCGGAAAGCCTTGGGTTTGCCCGTGCGCTCGTTCAGGCCTTCGTCGAAAGTGACCTCGCACTGCTTTGATACTTAGCAAGAATGAACATCTTGCGTTTCATAACCCCTTGAGGTTGATGTTACAACACACATGAAACATGATTCCCAAGCGACACAAGCGCCAGGGCAAGCAAGCAAAGCACCACCTGCCTTGTCTCCCTCCTGCAGTGTTCCACCAATAACATCCGTGCACCGAACGAATAGGTCCTCGCAAGCAGACTGGAGATACTTCCGCAACAAACCGCGCAGAGCATGCTGGCACTTGCAGCAACGCGGAACAGGTCCGTGCGGGATCCAGTTGGAACGATGAATCCGAAGCCCTGCAGGCACACTTGTGTGGGGAGTCGTGATGCGTGCTCTGTTGCACTGGGCACGGCAGGCCTTTGCATTGTCATACTTCTTCACAACACCGGTCAAGGCCATGATGCTAGAAAACACAAGCTGATTCCAGCGAGCCAGCTGTCTCACACGCGAGCGAACAATGCATCGCGATTGCTGGATGCTTTTTCACTTGCACTAACAATTTGGAACCTATCGCCTCTTGGTCCTCGCTTGAGTATCTGCACACCAAGGCACGTACACATCCATCTCCTTTTTGCGACGCTTCGCGCGAAGCCGGGGCACGGCCCGTCGGGACCGGAAGGGAATCCCATCCCAGGCATCCCGGGCGTGCTATTTTCTTTTGGGCCATCCCAGGGAGCTCTTCGAAAGTATCCGGCTTGACGACGAAGATGAGAATTGCACGATGCTTGCGCTGGCCTTTATGGCCATGGCCCATGGCTGCTACTGCTACTGCTTGAGACCCCATTAATTATATACTGTTCTATTCCTGCTCAATCGTGGTATATTTGTCGCTCCGGCTTTGTCAGCGCCGCTGCTGCTGTTCCTGTTGTCTGAATTCCATTCAGATGCCACATTGCCCTTTATCAATCTACTTGGAAACGAGGTCAAACAAGGCTGGATGCCTGTGCGCAGCACTGTGATGAGTTTGCAGGTTGGTGTGGCGAGAGGGGTGGTCGCCGCGCCGAGCTGGCGCCACAGGAAACACCTCAATATCTGGGCAAGTACCTCCCCCACTGATTTGATGAACTGAGATGAATTGCCACATCTCTTTCTTGCAGTTGGTGCTTGGGCTTAGTCTAAGCCAACTGAATGACAATGTGCATGTTGCCACCTCATGCCACCAGTTTTCAATGCCTGTGTGCTTTAGCCTCTTACCGCTGGGTCGTAACAAGTTGTGAGAAGCTGCAGGGAGATTTTTCCAGAGCTGCAGCTGCTTCAGGGAAGTCCGGAACAAATTGGTGGGACTGCGTTTGCAAGCGGGATGGCCACGTCGTCGTTGTAGTGTCGCCGCAGTTTGGACGGCAGCAGGCATAGATGCCGTTGCGGTGGCAGGAGCAGGATTCGCACTGCGAGCCTTCGTCGTAGCGGTAGTGAGGTGACAGCTCCCCGCCCTCCGCTTCGATACTGCAAGGCGAGAGCCTGTCAATTTCCCACTACCTGTAGCGGTGTGTCAGTCTGCGAAGGCCCATCATGGGAGCTGGAGGAGCATGATTGAATGATGCCGTGTTGCAGCTCTGTCTGTTTCTACGCAGATAAACACTTGCAAACGACGACAGAGTTGTGCACTTGGATATCGGAGGTTCCAGTCGCATGACTACCATCTCCGCTTTCATGACTTTGGGTTGGATGTACCGGTACTTCAGAACAACCCCCGAATTGGCCTGGGGCCCTAGGCGTTTCCTAGGTCGCTTGCTTGCCTTTGGCAGGCAACTTGCAAGTTAAACTGCCTCCCACTGCGAGTATTATGGAGAACAGAGGCTCCAAGAGAGACGTTTTTCAAAGCATTTCGGTAACTGAGGAGAATGAAAGCTTGCCAGCTCAGCCGGAGAGGCAGTAGACCTGGCAGGGGCAAAACCCAAAAGCCAGAAAAGGCGGAGAGGAGAGTGCACGAGTGCACGGCAGGCGCGCCTGCATGATCCCCACGATTGCCCCAAGGATTCCCCCAAGGAGGATCAAGATCCACTCCTCAGCACACGCATAGCCTCATAGCCTCCCAAGGAGAGCGCCTCTGAGGAGTCCAGATGCCCACGGCCTTCTTTGGCCCCGGCATCCTCCTGAAAGACGGGGTGGAGCAGATTTTCGAACTCGTCGGCCGGCCTTCGGCTCAGTTGCTCGTCGCGTTTCGCCAGTTTTTTTTGCACGCTGGCACGGCACGGGGCCCCCGCATGCGCTGGAGACACTCCCTGTTTCGAGCTTCGATGTCCGTCACCTTCGAGATGTACTGGGCGGACACCTCCGACGGACACAGAGTGAAAGTGAGAGTGAGAGACGGAGACACGTGCTTTCCAGCTCCCAGGTTCGACTGTTCAGACCAACCTTCGGGAACCCTGACTCATGCCTTGGGTATGAGTTGTACGACAGCTATGATGGCTCTGATTCAACAGTCCATGGACAATCCTGTCCTTCCTTGCAAGGCCCTGACGGAAAATGTGCGTGACGACCTGTGACATCTGCCCCCAGGATGGCTACGGTAGCTGGGGCCTTTCAAGTCTACTCTGCAAGGTAAGTGGAAAATGGGATTAGGGCTGAAATTAGTGTTACAGGAGCAGTGGTGGTAGCAGTGGTGGTAGTGTTGATAAAAATCATGACATTGCGAATTAGAGGAATCAAGGGATTCTGCTTTCATGGCTGGAGACAGCAGGACGCTCCGGTGGATGCATGCATGCCTTCAGACGCAGTCAGGACCAGCAAGGATACGAAATCAAGGCCGCATTATACTACAATGCAGACGCAGAGACGAACCCACTGCATGTGTAATGCATGAAGCTTTCCAGGGTCAATCAAGCTTGTTCGAAAGAAGACGAATATATGATATATATATATATATACATATATGCATATGATCATCACGCTCTCAAACACTGAGCTGTAGTCCACCGTGTGCCGTGTGCCCGGCAAGCAAAAGTATGGCCGAATTCACGACATTGTAAACATACATTATAAGTCATTCTCTCCTTTGCAACAGTCGGCCGAGGATCTTCCCGGAACTGGGGCCTTGTGAAGACGATGCGCGCGGTAGAGGCCGTCGACCATGGCTACCTCTCTGCAGAAGAGGCAGCAATAACTCAGACTCTCAGACTCTCAACACTCCCCGCTAATCCCGTGAAGGTCCGGGCCTTGAGGTCCTCTTCCAAGTCCCTGTACCTCAGGCTCAGAACACAAACAAAAACGGCGAAGGGAACGAGGCGCACCAGCCCGGCTCTTTAGGCCGGTGCCCCTCTTTGCCGATGGTCCACTGCGCGAACCAGGTGGCTGAGCCTGGCCAAAGGCCCATGAATCCCTAAAGGAGGCAAGGGCCCGTCACCCTCATATGACCTGGTCGCGCGCTCGGCGCGATGATCATTGCTGATGATGATGACGATGATTAGGTGGAGGCGACGACGAGTATATCTGCAGCTCAAGATCCTACTGTACTGGGTAAGCTGCGGCCGCTAAAGCGGTCGCTCTCATCTAGTTGCGACGATGGTTGCTGTTGTCGTCGTCCTGGTCGTCGGCATGATCGTCGTAGGCAGTGGTAGCAGCGATGCTCCTAAAGAACTTGAACGACAAAGCCCTCAGCCCTAATCCCTAGCACCCGAATATACCCTACCATGCCAATCCCTAAACTCTTCAAGCCCCACAAGGTGAAAACCTCAATGCACCTGAACTGTAAATCCTCAAGGTGCTGCAGAGGTCTTGTCAGTGCGTGGGGCCCGCCTAGGGTCTCCCGAAGCACGGCCGTGGAGTGTGCCACATACGCTGCCTTCAGCTTCTCCCAAAGCCTCAGGGTAGCTTGTCGTTCAAGCTGCTTTGCTTTGCTGGCTCTGGGCGTTGTCTCCGACACGGAATCTGCACAACCCAGACTTCAGGACAGCACTCGGGGAGCGTCTGCAGATAGCCTCGGGATCGAAAGCGTGGCCCGGGTTTGACTTTCCCCATGCGGCCAAGCTGCCGATGATCTTGTTGAAGGAGAGGAAGTTCTCCTGCACCCGTGGACAGAGGGATGCAGTATTCGGTAGCACCTTAGCACTCCTGACTCGCAAGGAACAACAAATCCGAACAGCTCTCCTTCAACATCTTGGCATAGAGCACGCAGACCTCCTGGAGCGAGGCGCTGTGTGTCTCCAAGCGACCCCTCGAGTCTTCGAGCGATCCGAGGATGGCGCAGGCTGTCGCTTCAGGAAGAGACCCTGAGATCAGCACACGCCTGCTGCGGCTCTACGACTCTGATGCCAGGGCCTGGATGTTGCAGATGTGCCAGCCACAGATCCTGCGAGCTCCAAGCGATCCAATCTCACATTCCCAAACCCCTCGCCTCTCTTCTCTCTCTTCTCTGTCCGGATGGGTGTTGGGAAGCAAGGCTTGAAGACCAGGAGGATGGCCAGCCTGGACAATCTCAGAGTCGCAGAGCGCTCTGCGACTTCACCTGTAGCCTCTGAGGGAGGAACCAGTTCGTCACAATGCCCAGCAAGAAGCCTCCAAAAGAGCAACAGCGTCTCAGGCTCTGGATTGGCCCAGGGCCCTTCCGTGCTGTGGACCGACGGTAAAAGTAAGGAGCTATGCAAAGAAGTCCTGGTCTGGAGAACAGCAAACCTCTCAACATCACTGAAGTTACGACCTGTGGCCGGGAGGAAGATTGCGCGGCCCTCGTCAGAAAGATTGTTGAAGGCTATGAGCTGCAGGAGGCCACCTGGAGAGTCATTCATGTGCCATCTACATCTCGACGATGCAGGCGCTGCATCAACTTGCAGAATAGTTCTCGGCAAAATGCAAATACTCACCCACCGGTCCCCGAAATGGAGAGACCCCATAAGGGCCAGGCCGGAGCGCTCAGCCCAATCACGCTGATGATGGGCCCTGACGCGGTCGTCATGCTGTCATCCCAGATAGACGCCCGTGCATCCGAGAAGGATTATTGACAGAAGGGTGTAGGAATCCAAGATCCGGGCGAACACCAAGACGAAGAAGCCATGCCCAGGGTTCTGCGACAAAAGGCTACTTTGGCGGGGAGGAGTTCGATCTAGGGGGATACAAGTACGGCATATTTTGCCCCCTCGACATGCCGTCTGTCCGTCCGCAGGTCGCTGTCTCGATCTCGCTCTCGTTCTTTCCGGTCTCTCTTGCTGCAAACAAGCAATAGGAATTCAGGCGCCAAACATCCGGTCTCCTTCTGCAAGGAGAAAGCAGCCAGGCGAAGGCTATTTCTGGAAGACAGCCTGGCCGTTGCGGATGCTCCAAGTTCTCAGCGTCTCTCGATTCTGCACGATCCACGAAAGAGCTGAGGTCGCGGCACACGTGCACGATGTGTGCTCATGCTTTTTGTGTTTTTTTCTAATTTTTTTCTGTTTCTTGCTCTCATCCAGCGGCATTGGCCGCTGATCTTCCTCCGCCAAATCAGGCAGTTGGCAGGCATCAAGGAGCTGCTCGGGCCTGCCGAAAAAAAGCGGTGAATACTGCACCCTTCGAACCCCGGAAGACTCACATCTAAAGAAACAAAAGCTAGCGACGCTGTGTGAGATCGGTTCGGCCTTCGTTGGGCCCTGCGTCCCTGAGACCTGGTCGAGCTCATTCGAATGCTTTGCACGCAGCATATCAGGCGAATCACAGAACAATATGCGTAATTACAGGTCGTCCACAGTGGCCCAGCCTTTTCGTATGCTCGTTGCCGAATTCGGTGCCACCTGGTTACAGCGTGCTAGCAGTTAGTTAACAGTTGCAGAAATGCGGACAACTACACCGATCATCCCACCACTGTCCGAAAAGGCCATCCATGAACGGATTGAGCCCATGAATTTCATGTCGGATCTTCTCTTTTGAACGTACAGAAGGCAGACGAGCCCCCTCAGAGCCGCACATGTTCGACAGGAGTCGGGTCCATTGCCCCTACCAGGTTGGATTTTTAGGCAGGCGCATGTTGGCTGAGCACTGGCAGCGACCTCCTCCACAATTCAAACGTCCAGATAGGTCCTGGTCATACTATCTAGTTGCGGACAGGCGACACGGATAGGTGTGCGCATGGAGGGCGGACAGGGTCTACGAAAAGGGCCGTATCCCAAGACCGATAGGCTAGACACAGGGGTTTCTGGACGCCTATCATGGATAACTACTTGTCATGATGCTCTTCCATTCACAGACACGCACACATATACACACACATACAGATGCAAGTACACATTGTGCACAACATATGCATGTACATCTATCTATCTATCTATCTATTGGGTTCAACATTACATATAAGAATAATTACATGTGCCTGGTATGTGTATGTGTACATGTACATGAACATGTACATACATATACATATACACATACATAAACGTATACATGCATATACACACATACACTTACACATACGCATACATATGCACATGCATATACATATACGCATGTATGTGAATCTACAAAGATGTATGTGTCTCTTTCTCTATCTCTCTGTCGTTCTGTCTCTCCACCTCTCCATCTCTGTCTCTAACTCTCTTCTTCTACCTGCACTGGAGCAGTGGGAATCCAAGGGCCAACATCCCGGTCCTTCTCGAGCGCGAAGGCCGCTGGAAGACGTTAATGGCAATCTTTTTGTATAGTTTTTTCTAAAATATTTTTGTGACTGTCCATACCAGGCAATGCCCAGCAGCGTTGGCTGCTCACTCTTCATCCTGAATGCAACAAAGCCGCGCATTCTTCACATGCTGTTCCAGCACGCGTGCAAGCTGGAGGCCTGGCCTGTACGAAGTCGGGGCCTGAAAATCAGCTCAGACCATGTCGCTTGTAAAGAGTTCACGAAATCCCACGGCCTCTCACTCGACCCCCCAGTAGCCGCGTTCCATGCCTCGGCACTTGGATTCCTATCGCTAAGGACCTCCACGGACTCAGCACACACTCATCCATGAAAGCTGGGAGCTTTTTCCAAGGATGCACGCGGGTAGATTTGGAGTTTCAAGTTTAAACTTCTTCCAAGACAGTTCCGCGATGTGCTTGGAGCTGTGGCGTTTGTAACGGAAAACAAGGTTTCACGAGCCGGCGAAATGTGTTAGTTACGAGTAGTTTGCACTACTGTCACTGTTCGTGAGCCAGTGAGATTCTCATAGATTTCCAGTCAGGAAACGAAGATTTCATGAGCCGATGTTTGTAAGTCATGACCTTCGTTGATCTTCAGAGCTCAAGACAGGACTTTCTTTGCTCCTCAGTGCTGGCTTTATACCGGCATCCAGGTTTACGTAAGCCGGCTAATTTCCGTGCCGTCCTACTTCCACTAGTCACAGTTGACCTAGCTACTACAGGAACCGACGCATTCACAAACCGGCTGCTGGACTGTCCTAGAGCTTCCGTGCTAATACAGGAAACGCAAGATTCATGAGCCGGCGGAGGGACTGTTCTGCAATTATGAGCTTGTGCGCGTACTGGAATCGCTTTTTGTTTTTTTTATGAGCCAGCAATTAGGTTTTCGTGGATTTCCACGTCTGTTTTCCCTGACTAATTTGCTTTTGCGAGGCCGGTGGATGGCCGTTGAGTTTCAACTCTAGTGTACAGGTTTGCAGTTCGTGTGATGGCGAGCGCTGCAATGTGGGTGGCTTGGGACAGGGCGCCATTTTTGGGAGGAAAGATGGCTGCCGAGCTTGTGCTTTTGCTTGGTAAACGGCAACGAAGCTGGGTTTTCTCCAGCATTCGCTTCAGTGCCTCACCCGCACTGAGCTCCGTGCGCAGCCTCTTCTTTGCTGCCTTGCCTGTGGAGGCCTGCAAACATGCAAGTACAACATTGAATGCACAAACCCCCTGGACAACCTCATCCGGCTACAAGGCATCACGAGCACAAAGGCTGAAGATGGACGTCGGTTGAAATGCTGGGTGTGCGACAGCATCAGGCATCTTCACTGTCTTCATGAGCTGTGGGACCTTCTCGACCCAGCATGCATTCCGAGAAGGCTCAGGAGCGGCCAACAGAAAGGATCAGCCACTATGGCTTCCACGGACATTCCTTACAGACCGGTGCCTTCTCCGCTGAACCGAGGAAACGGGGAGAGGTGGCACATGGGTGACATGCTGGGTGCGCAGCGGGGCAGGGCTCCGGAATCTTCTCCACGATCTTCTCCATCTGTCACAGAAATTTGGCACAAGTTTCCCAGAAAACGACTCAACACATGACGTGCCCTCCGAGATGTTGCTAAGCATGCAGCTTGGCCGGGAATCTTGACGGCGATGGGGCGCTCAATCGGCGCCCACGTCTGCAAGACAGGACCATGTCAATGTGGCAAGGGCAAAAGCACCGTGAGAAACTCAAATCGTCCGCCTTCTTGCCCAGAAGGACCGGGAGGCCCCGCAACCCTGGCGTTGCCCGGGTGGGGCACGGCGGGCAAGCCTGGGCACAAAGTCGGATCAAGGCGACCCGCGAGTACAGAGTGGGCCAGAAAGGGTCATGCAGAAGAAATTGAGTGAACCCAAAAAGCTATGAAGCTTTCCGATTGCACGTCTCTGTACGCGAAATGGATGCTCACATACAAACACATGCACATGTCTGGATTCAAACATGCGAAGAAGGCACGTCTGCACATTAAATAAGAGAGGGTGCATGGATCAGGCCACGAACGACAACGCCGGAGTCGTCTTTGGAAAGACTCCGGGGCTGCTGATATTGCTGGGGTCTCGACACGGCCACAGCAACTGCCCGGCATGTTGGAGCTGCCAGCCTCAAAGCTGGTTTCTTGATGGTTCTGGATGTCAACCTCTTGACCTTAAAGGAACTCCAGCTGTGATGTATGTCGGTCTTCACGCGGCCGCGGGGCCTTGCAGCTGTTCCCGCTCATCTGCAGACTTCCGCAGTTGCCGCTGCAACCTCCCATGCGCTGTCCGCAGCCACCGCAGCCACCTCCGCAACCCCCAGAACCTCCACAGCCGCAACCCATAGCCATCATAGCCATGCCAGGATTGGGAAGGCTCGGCTCGGTAGGCACACTTCCTTTGCCTCCCTTACCCTTGCCACCCTTTCCTGCGCCTTTTTTCTGAGGGGGCTTGCGTGCTCCTGTGCCGCCAGTGACCTGGTGCGCCTTCATTCTCCCGCTTCTCTTGTCAACCACCTCGCTGTACTGCACATGATCCCCCTCATTCAGCGGGGCGTCGATCACATCGCTGCCTCATCAAAAATGCTTTCAGGCTTAAGAAGCAGAACGCCAAACAGCCATTTCCCAATGCTCAAACCACACTGTGCAAGATAAGCCACGATGGACGAAGAGGTCATTGCCACCACCATTCTGCTTGATGAAGCCAAAACCTTTCTCATCGTGGAAGAACCTCAGAAATCTGCCGATGAGCCCGATGAGACACGATTCCACCCCTAACACAAGGTCTTCATGGCGAGATGAGGAACTTGACCACGCCGGACTTGATGCCACAGCCACCCGGCATGGGTGCGGCCTTTCCTGGCGAGTGATGAAGACAAATTGCCCTGGATCTGCGCCTAGAGCAAACTGACAAAGTTACGCCATGCCGAGGAAGCCTGCGCCAAGGCCGCAGCCCCCACCTCGGCCGGGATAAGTGCTATACGCGCGTACACACATAATCGGTCATAGGTATACTCTCATGGGGAAAGAAACATAGATAGATAGGCAAATAGATTATAGATTGATGGATGGACAGAAAGATCAGCATAGGATAACATGGAACAGATGATATCTATATCTGTATTGTTTATATCTACGCTACATTTGCTTGCTTGTTCATCTAAAAACATACCTGAGGCAGACGCCTAGCATCAAGCCGCAAGGAGCCGGGCTGCCCCAAGGGCTGCAGCCGCAGCCACCGGGAACCGGTCCGGCAACAAAGCCTCTGTTCAGAGGTTGCGGGCTTGAGGTTCTGGATTTGAGGGTTTTGGGATGAATATGTGCGACAGAACCCACCAAAGACTGTCCTGGAAGCTGCTTTTTTCAAAGACTTACACTTGTGCTAAAGGCACACGAATTCAGTGATAGACTCAGAAACCTCTTCGAGACAGTGGCCTCCTCCCTTGCCCTTGTTGCCTGTCTTGCCCTTTCCTCCCTTGCCACCTGTGGCACTAAGGAGATCAAACGAGACGTAACTGAAAGATTGACTCTGTGCATGCCACATGTCCACCTTGTTTTCCGTCTCTCGGATCTCCTTTGCCACCTGCAGACCCATGGCACTCGGGATCGGGGATTAGGGCCTCAGGCACTTGAACAGGATGCCTGGTGCAGGTCCAGATCCTCCGGCGACGCGGAAAGCCTTGGGTTTGCCCGTGCGCTCGTTCAGGCCTTCGTCGAAAGTGACCTCGCTGCTTTGATACTTAGCAAGAATGAACATCTTGCGTTTCATAACCCCTTGAGGTTGATGTTACAACACACATGAAGCATGATTCCCAAGCGACACAAGCGCCAGGGCAAGCAAGCAAAGCACCACCTGCCTTGTCTCCCTCCTGCAGTGTTCCACCAATAACATCCGTGCACCGAACGAATAGGTCCTCGCAAGCAGACTGGAGATACTTCCGCAACAAACCGCGCAGAGCATGCTGGCACTTGCAGCAACGCGGAACAGGTCCGTGCGGGATCCAGTTGGAACGATGAATCCGAAGCCCTGCAGGCACACTTGTGTGGGGAGTCGTGATGCGTGCTCTGTTGCACTGGGCACGGCAGGCCTTTGCATTGTCATACTTCTTCACAACACCGGTCAAGGCCATGATGCTAGAAAACACAAGCTGATTCCAGCGAGCCAGCTGTCTCACACGCGAGCGAACAATGCTTCGCGATTGCTGAATGCTTTTTCACTTGCACTAACAATTTGGAACCTATCGCCTCTTGGTCCTCGCTTGAGTATCTGCACACCAAGGCACGTACACATCCATCTCCTTTTTGCGACGCTTCGCGCGAAGCCGGGGCACGGCCCGTCGGGACCGGAAGGGAATCCCATCCCAGGCATCCCGGGCGTGCTATTTTCTTTTGGGCCATCCCAGGGAGCTCTTCGAAAGTATCCGGCTTGACGACGAAGATGAGAATTGCACGATGCTTGCGCTGGCCTTTATGGCCATGGCCCATGGCTGCTACTGCTACTGCTTGAGACCCCATTAATTATATACTGTTCTATTCCTGCTCAATCGTGGTATATTTGTCGCTCCGGCTTTGTCAGCGCCGCTGCTGCTGTTCCTGTTGTCTGAATTCCATTCAGATGCCACATTGCCCTTTATCAATCTACTTGGAAACGAGGTCAAACAAGGCTGGATGCCTGTGCGCAGCACTGTGATGAGTTTGCAGGTTGGTGTGGCGAGAGGGGTGGTCGCCGCGCCGAGCTGGCACCACAGGAAACACCTCAATATCTGGGCAAGTACCTCCCCCACTGATTTGATGAACTGAGATGAATTGCCACATCTCTTTCTTGCAGTTGGTGCTTGGGCTTAGTCTAAGCCAACTGAATGACAATGTGCATGTTGCCACCTCATGCCACCAGTTTTCAATGCCTGTGTGCTTTAGCCTCTTACCGCTGGGTCGTAACAAGTTGTGAGAAGCTGCAGCTCTTTGCCAGCGAGATTTTTCCAGAGCTGCAGCTGCTTCAGGGAAGTCCGGAACAAATTGGTGGGACTGCGTTTGCAAGCGGGATGGCCACGTCGTCGTTGTGGTGTCGCCGCAGTTTGGACGGCAGCAGGCATAGATGCCGTTGCGGTGGCAGGAGCAGGATTCGCACTGCGAGCCGTCGTCGTAGCGGTAGTGAGGTGGCAGCTCCCCGCCCTCCGCTTCGATACTGCAAGGCGAGAGCCTGTCAATTTCCCACTACCTGTAGCGGTGTGTCAGTCTGCGAAGGCCCATCATGGGAGCTGGAGGAGCATGATTGAATGATGCCGTGTTGCAGCTCTGTCTGTTTCTACGCAGATAAACACTTGCAAACGACGACAGAGTTGTGCACTTGGATATCGGAGGTTCCAGTCGCATGACTACCATCTCCGCTTTCATGACTTTGGGTTGGATGTACCGGTACTTCAGAACAACCCCCGAATTGGCCTGGGGCCCTAGGCGTTTCCTAGGTCGCTTGCTTGCCTTTGGCAGGCAACTTGCAAGTTAAACTGCCTCCCACTGCGAGTATTATGGAGAACAGAGGCTCCAAGAGAGACGTTTTTCAAAGCATTTCGGTAACTGAGGAGAATGAAAGCTTGCCAGCTCAGCCGGAGAGGCAGTAGACCTGGCAGGGGCAAAACCCAAAAGCCAGAAAAGGCGGAGAGGAGAGTGCACGAGTGCACGGCAGGCGCGCCTGCATGATCCCCACGATTGCCCCAAGGATTCCCCCAAGGAGGATCAAGATCCACTCCTCAGCACACGCATAGCCTCATAGCCTCCCAAGGAGAGCGCCTCTGAGGGGTCCAGATGCCCAGGGCCTTCTTTGGCCCCGGCATCCTCCTGAAAGACGGAGTGGAGCAGATTTTCGAACTCGTCGGCCGGCCTTCGGCTCAGTTGCTCGTCGCGTTTCGCCAGGTTTTTTTTGCACGCTGGCACGGCACGGGGCCCCCGCATGCGCTGGAGACACTCCCTGTTTCGAGCTTCGATGTCCGTCACCTTCGAGATGTACTGGGCGGACACCTCCGACGGACACAGAGTGAAAGTGAGAGTGAGAGACGGAGACACGTGCTTTCCAGCTCCCAGGTTCGACTGTTCAGACCAACCTTCGGGAACCCTGACTCATGCCTTGGGTATGAGTTGTACGACAGCTATGATGGCTCTGATTCAACAGTCCATGGACAATCCTGTCCTTCCTTGCAAGGCCCTGACGGAAAATGTGCGTGACGACCTGTGACATCTGCCCCCAGGATGGCTACGGTAGCTGGGGCCTTTCAAGTCTACTCTGCAAGGTAAGTGGAAAATGGGATTAGGGCTGAAATTAGTGTTACAGGAGCAGTGGTGGTAGCAGTGGTGGTAGTGTTGATAAAAATCATGACATTGCGAATTAGAGGAATCAAGGGATTCTGCTTTCATGGCTGGAGACAGCAGGACGCTCCGGTGGATGCATGCATGCCTTCAGACGCAGTCAGGACCAGCAAGGATACGAAATCAAGGCCGCATGATACTACAATGCAGACGCAGAGACGAACCCACTGCATGTGTAATGCATGAAGCCTTCCAGGGTCAATCAAGCTTGTTCGAAAGAAGACGAATATGTGATATATATATATATATATACATATATATGCATATGATCATCACGCTCTCAAACACTGAGCTGTAGTCCACCGTGTGCCGTGTGCCCGGCAAGCAAAAGTATGGCCGAATTCACGACATTGTAAACATACATTATAAGTCATTCTCTCCTTTGCAACAGTCGGCCGAGGATCTTCCCGGAACTGGGGCCTTGTGAAGACGATGCGCGCGGTAGAGGCCGTCGACCATGGCTACCTCTCTGCAGAAGAGGCAGCAATAACTCAGACTCTCAGACTCTCAACACTCCCCGCTAATCCCGTGAAGGCCCGGGCCTTGAGGTCCTCTTCCAAGTCCCTGTACCTAGGCTCAGAACACAAACAAAAACGGCGAAGGGAACGAGGCGCACCAGCCCGGCTCTTTAGGCCGGTGCCCCTCTTTGCCGATGGTCCACTGCGCGAACCAGGTGGCTGAGCCTGGCCAAAGGCCCATGAATCCCTAAAGGAGGCAAGGGCCCGTCACCCTCATATGACCTGGTCGCGCGCTCGGCGCGATGATCATTGCTGATGATGATGACGATGATTAGGTGGAGGCGACGACGAGTATATCTGCAGCTCAAGATCCTACTGTACTGGGTAAGCTGCGGCCGCTAAAGCGGTCGCTCTCATCTAGTTGCGACGATGGTTGCTGTTGTCGTCGTCCTGGTCGTCGGCATGATCGTCGTAGGCAGTGGTAGCAGCGATGCTCCTAAAGAACTTGAACGACAAAGCCCTCAGCCCTAATCCCTAGCACCCGAATATACCCTACCATGCCAATCCCTAAACTCTTCAAGCCCCACAAGGTGAAAACCTCAATGCACCTGAACTGTAAATCCTCAAGGTGCTGCAGAGGTCTTGTCAGTGCGTGGGGCCCGCCTAGGGTCTCCCGAAGCACGGCCGTGGAGTGTGCCACATACGCTGCCTTCAGCTTCTCCCAAAGCCTCAGGGTAGCTTGTCGTTCAAGCTGCTTTGCTTTGCTGGCTCTGGGCGTTGTCTCCGACACGGAATCTGCACAACCCAGACTTCAGGACAGCACTCGGGGAGCGTCTGCAGATAGCCTCGGGATCGAAAGCGTGGCCCGGGTTTGACTTTCCCCATGCGGCCAAGCTGCCGATGATCTTGTTGAAGGAGAGGAAGTTCTCCTGCACCCGTGGACAGAGGGATGCAGTATTCGGTAGCACCTTAGCACTCCTGACTCGCAAGGAACAACAAATCCGAACAGCTCTGCTTCAACATCTTGGCATAGAGCACGCAGACCTCCTGGAGCGAGGCGCTGTGTGTCTCCAAGCGACCCCTCGAGTCTTCGAGCGATCCGAGGATGGCGCAGGCTGTCGCTTCAGGAAGAGACCCTGAGATCAGCACACGCCTGCTGCGGCTCTACGACTCTGATGCCAGGGCCTGGATGTTGCAGATGTGCCAGCCACAGATCCTGCGAGCTCCAAGCGATCCAATCTCACATTCCCAAACCCCTCGCCTCTCTTCTCTCTCTTCTCTGTCCGGATGGGTGTTGGGAAGCAAGGCTTGAAGACCATGAGGATGGCCAGCCTGGACAATCTCAGAGTCGCAGAGCGCTCTGCGACTTCACCTGTAGCCTCTGAGGGAGGAACCAGTTCGTCACAATGCCCAGCAGGAAGCCTCCAAAAGAGCAACAGCGTCTCAGGCTCTGGATTGGCCCAGGGCCCTTCCGTGCTGTGGACCGACGGTAAAAGTAAGGAGCTATGCAAAGAAGTCCTGGTCTGGAGAACAGCAAACCTCTCAACATCACTGAAGTTACGACCTGTGGCCGGGAGGAAGATTGCGCGGCCCTCGTCAGAAAGATTGTTGAAGGCTATGAGCTGCAGGAGGCCACCTGGAGAGTCATTCATGTGCCATCTACATCTCGACGATGCAGGCGCTGCATCAACTTGCAGAATAGTTCTCGGCAAAATGCAAATACTCACCCACCGGTCCCCGAAATGGAGAGACCCCATAAGGGCCAGGCCGGAGCGCTCAGCCCAATCACGCTGATGATGGGCCCTGACGCGGTCGTCATGCTGTCATCCCAGATAGACGCCCGTGCATCCGAGAAGGATTATTGACAGAAGGGTGTAGGAATCCAAGATCCGGGCGAACACCAAGACGAAGAAGCCATGCCCAGGGTTCTGCGACAAAAGGCTACTTTGGCGGGGAGGAGTTCGATCTAGGGGGATACAAGTACGGCATATTTTGCCCCCTCGACATGCCGTCTGTCCGTCCGCAGGTCGCTGTCTCGATCTCGCTCTCGTTCTTTCCGGTCTCTCTTGCTGCAAACAAGCAATAGGAATTCAGGCGCCAAACATCCGGTCTCCTTCTGCAAGGAGAAAGCAGCCAGGCGAAGGCTATTTCTGGAAGACAGCCTGGCCGTTGCGGATGCTCCAAGTTCTCAGCGTCTCTCGATTCTGCACGATCCACGAAAGAGCTGAGGTCGCGGCACACGTGCACGACGTGTGCTCATGCTTTTTGTGTTTTTGTCTAATTTTTTTCTGTTTCTTGCTCTCATCCAGCGGCATTGGCCGCTGATCTTCCTCCGCCAAATCAGGCAGTTGGCAGGCATCAAGGAGCTGCTCGGGCCTGCCGAAAAAAAGCGGTGAATACTGCACCCTTCGAACCCCGGAAGACTCACATCTAAAGAAACAAAAGCTAGCGACGCTGTGTGAGATCGGTTCGGCCTTCGTTGGGCCCTGCGTCCCTGAGACCTGGTCGAGCTCATTCGAATGCTTTGCACGCAGCATATCAGGCGAATCACAGAACAATATGCGTAATTACAGGTCGTCCACAGTGGCCCAGCCTTTTCGTATGCTCGTTGCCGAATTCGGTGCCACCTGGTTACAGCGTGCTAGCAGTTAGTTAACAGTTGCAGAAATGCGGACAACTACACCGATCATCCCACCACTGTCCGAAAAGGCCATCCATGAACGGATTGAGCCCATGAATTTCATGTCGGATCTTCTCTTTTGAACGTACAGAAGGCAGACGAGCCCCCTCAGAGCCGCACATGTTCGACAGGAGTCGGGTCCATTGCCCCTACCAGGTTGGATTTTTAGGCAGGCGCATGTTGGCTGAGCACTGGCAGCGACCTCCTCCACAATTCAAACGTCCAGATAGGTCCTGGTCATACTATCTAGTTGCGGACAGGCGACACGGATAGGTGTGCGCATGGAGGGCGGACAGGGTCTACGAAAAGGGCCGTATCCCAAAACCGATAGGCTAGACACAGGGGTTTCTGGACGCCTATCATGGATAACTACTTGTCATGATGCTCTTCCATTCACAGACACGCACACATATACACACACATACAGATGCAAGTACACATTGTGCACAACATATGCATGTACATCTATCTATCTATCTATCTATTGGGTTCAACATTACATATAAGAATAATTACATGTGCCTGGTATGTGTATGTGTACATGTACATGAACATGTACATACTATACATATACACATACATAAACGTATACATGCATATACACACATACACTTACACATACGCACACAAATGCACATGCATATACATATACGCATGTATGTGAATCTACAAAGATGTATGTGTCTCTTTCTCTATCTCTCTGTCGTTCTGTCTCTCCACCTCTCCATCTCTGTCTCTAACTCTCTTCTTCTACCTGCACTGGAGCAGTGGGAATCCAAGGGCCAACATCCCGGTCCTTCTCGAGCGCGAAGGCCGCTGGAAGACGTTAATGGCAATCTTTTTGTATAGTTTTTTCTAAAATATTTTTGTGACTGTCCATACCAGGCAATGCCCAGCAGCGTTGGCTGCTCACTCTTCATCCTGAATGCAACAAAGCCGCGCATTCTTCACATGCTGTTCCAGCACGCGTGCAAGCTGGAGGCCTGGCCTGTACGAAGTCGGGGCCTGAAAATCAGCTCAGACCATGTCGCTTGTAAAGAGTTCACGAAATCCCACGGCCTCTCACTCGACCCCCCAGTAGCCGCGTTCCATGCCTCGGCACTTGGATTCCTATCGCTAAGGACCTCCACGGACTCAGCACACACTCATCCATGAAAGCTGGGAGCTTTTTCCAAGGATGCACGCGGGTAGATTTGGAGTTTCAAGTTTAAACTTCTTCCAAGACAGTTCCGCGATGTGCTTGGAGCTGTGGCGTTTGTAACGGACAACAAGGTTTCACGAGCCGGCGAAATGTTTTAGTTACGAGTAGTTTGCACTACTGTCACTGTTCGTGAGCCAGTGAGATTCTCATAGATTTCCAGTCAGGAAACGAAGATTTCATGAGCCGATGTTTGTAAGTCATGACCTTCGTTGATCTTCAGAGCTCAAGGCAGGACTTGCTTTGCTCCTCAGTGCTGGCTTTATACCGGCATCCAGGTTTACGTAAGCCGGCTGATTTCCGTGCCGTCCTACTTCCACTAGTCACAGTTGACCTAGCTACTACAGGAACCGACGCATTCACAAACCGGCTGCTGGACTGTCCTAGAGCTTCCGTGCTAATACAGGAAACGCAAGATTCATGAGCCGGCGGAGGGACTGTTCTGCAATTATGAGCTTGTGCGCGTACTGGAATCGCTTTTTGTTTTTTTATGAGCCAGCAATTAGGTTTTCGTGGATTTCCACGTCTGTTTTCCCTGACTAATTTGCTTTTGCGAGGCCGGTGGATGGCCGTTGAGTTTCAACTCTAGTGTACAGGTTTGCAGTTCGTGTGATGGCGAGCGCTGCAATGTGGGTGGCTTGGGACAGGGCGCCATTTTTGGGAGGAAAGATGGCTGCCGAGCTTGTGCTTTTGCTTGGTAAACGGCAACGAAGCTGGGTTTTCTCCAGCATTCGCTTCAGTGCCTCACCCGCACTGAGCTCCGTGCGCAGCCTCTTCTTTGCTGCCTTGCCTGTGGAGGCCTGCAAACATGCAAGTACAACATTGAATGCACAAACCCCCTGGACAACCTCATCCGGCTACAAGGCATCACGAGCACAAAGGCTGAAGATGGACGTCGGTTGAAATGCTGGGTGTGCGACAGCATCAGGCATCTTCACTGTCTTCATGAGCTGTGGGACCTTCTCGACCCAGCATGCATTCCGAGAAGGCTCAGGAGCGGCCAACAGAAAGGATCAGCCACTATGGCTTCCACGGACATTCCTTACAGACCGGTGCCTTCTCCGCTGAACCGAGGAAACGGGGAGAGGTGGCACATGGGTGACATGCTGGGTGCGCAGCGGGGCAGGGCTCCGGAATCTTCTCCACGATCTTCTCCATCTGTCACAGAAATTTGGCACAAGTTTCCCAGAAAACGACTCAACACATGACGTGCCCTCCGAGATGTTGCTAAGCATGCAGCTTGGCCGGGAATCTTGACGGCGATGGGGCGCTCAATCGGCGCCCACGTCTGCAAGACAGGACCATGTCAATGTGGCAAGGGCAAAAGCACCGTGAGAAACTCAAATCGTCCGCCTTCTTGCCCAGAAGGACCGGGAGGCCCCGCAACCCTGGCGTTGCCCGGGTGGGGCACGGCGGGCAAGCCTGGGCACAAAGTCGGATCAAGGCGACCCGCGAGTACAGAGTGGGCCAGAAAGGGTCATGCAGAAGAAATTGAGTGAACCCAAAAAGCTATGAAGCTTTCCGATTGCACGTCTCTGTACGCGAAATGGATGCTCACATACAAACACATGCACATGTCTGGATTCAAACATGCGAAGAAGGCACGTCTGCACATTAAATAAGAGAGGGTGCATGGATCAGGCCACGAACGACAACGCCGGAGTCGTCTTTGGAAAGACTCCGGGGCTGCTGATATTGCTGGGGTCTCGACAAGGCCACAGCAACTGCCCGGCATGTTGGAGCTGCCAGCCTCAAAGCTGGTTTCTTGATGGTTCTGGATGTCAACCTCTTGACCTTAAAGGAACTCCAGCTGTGATGTATGTCGGTCTTCACGCGGCCGCGGGGCCTTGCAGCTGTTCCCGCTCATCTGCAGACTTCCGCAGTTGCCGCTGCAACCTCCCATGCGCTGTCCGCAGCCACCGCAGCCACCTCCGCAACCCCCAGAACCTCCACAGCCGCAACCCATAGCCATCATAGCCATGCCAGGATTGGGAAGGCTCGGCTCGGTAGGCACACTTCCTTTGCCTCCCTTACCCTTGCCACCCTTTCCTGCGCCTTTTTTCTGAGGGGGCTTGCGTGCTCCTGTGCCGCCAGTGACCTGGTGCGCCTTCATTCTCCCGCTTCTCTTGTCAACCACCTCGCTGTACTGCACATGATCCCCCTCATTCAGCGGGGCGTCGATCACATCGCTGCCTCATCAAAAATGCTTTCAGGCTTAAGAAGCAGAACGCCAAACAGCCATTTCCCAATGCTCAAACCACACTGTGCAAGATAAGCCACGATGGACGAAGAGGTCATTGCCACCACCATTCTGCTTGATGAAGCCAAAACCTTTCTCATCGTGGAAGAACCTCAGAAATCTGCCGATGAGCCCGATGAGACACGATTCCACCCCTAACACAAGGTCTTCATGGCGAGATGAGGAACTTGACCACGCCGGACTTGATGCCACAGCCACCCGGCATGGGTGCGGCCTTTCCTGGCGAGTGATGAAGACAAATTGCCCTGGATCTGCGCCTAGGGCAAACTGACAAAGTTACGCCATGCCGAGGAAGCCTGCGCCAAGGCCGCAGCCCCCACCTCGGCCGGGATAAGTGCTATACGCGCGTACACACATAATCGGTCATAGGTATACTCTCATGGGGAAAGAAACATAGATAGATAGGCAAATAGATTATAGATTGATGGATGGACAGAAAGATCAGCATAGGATAACATGGAACAGATGATATCTATATCTGTATTGTTTATATCTACGCTACATTTGCTTGCTTGTTCATCTAAAAACATACCTGAGGCAGACGCCTAGCATCAAGCCGCAAGGAGCCGGGCTGCCCCAAGGGCTGCAGCCGCAGCCACCGGGAACCGGTCCGGCAACAAAGCCTCTGTTCAGAGGTTGCGGGCTTGAGGTTCTGGATTTGAGGGTTTTGGGATGAATATGTGCGACAGAACCCACCAAAGACTGTCCTGGAAGCTGCTTTTTTCAAAGACTTACACTTGTGCTAAAGGCACACGAATTCAGTGATAGACTCAGAAACCTCTTCGAGACAGTGGCCTCCTCCCTTGCCCTTGTTGCCTGTCTTGCCCTTTCCTCCCTTGCCACTAAGGAGATCAAACGAGACGTAACTGAAAGATTGACTCTGTGCATGCCACATGTCCACCTTGTTTTCCGTCTCTCGGATCTCCTTTGCCACCTGCAGACCCATGGCACTCGGGATCGGGGATTAGGGCCTCAGGCACTTGAACAGGATGCCTGGTGCAGGTCCAGATCCTCCGGCGACGCGGAAAGCCTTGGGTTTGCCCGTGCGCTCGTTCAGGCCTTCGTCGAAAGTGACCTCGCACTGCTTTGATACTTAGCAAGAATGAACATCTTGCGTTTCATAACCCCTTGAGGTTGATGTTACAACACACATGAAACATGATTCCCAAGCGACACAAGCGCCAGGGCAAGCAAGCAAAGCACCACCTGCCTTGTCTCCCTCCTGCAGTGTTCCACCAATAACATCCGTGCACCGAACGAATAGGTCCTCGCAAGCAGACTGGAGATACTTCCGCAACAAACCGCGCAGAGCATGCTGGCACTTGCAGCAACGCGGAACAGGTCCGTGCGGGATCCAGTTGGAACGATGAATCCGAAGCCCTGCAGGCACACTTGTGTGGGGAGTCGTGATGCGTGCTCTGTTGCACTGGCGGCAGGCCTTTGCATTGTCATACTTCTTCACAACACCGGTCAAGGCCATGATGCTAGAAAACACAAGCTGATTCCAGCGAGCCAGCTGTCTCACACGCGAGCGAACAATGCATCGCGATTGCTGAATGCTTTTTCACTTGCACTAACAATTTGGAACCTATCGCCTCTTGGTCCTCGCTTGAGTATCTGCACACCAAGGCACGTACACATCCATCTCCTTTTTGCGACGCTTCGCGCGAAGCCGGGGCACGGCCCGTCGGGACCGGAAGGGAATCCCATCCCAGGCATCCCGGGCGTGCTATTTTCTTTTGGGCCATCCCAGGGAGCTCTTCGAAAGTATCCGGCTTGACGACGAAGATGAGAATTGCACGATGCTTGCGCTGGCCTTTATGGCCATGGCCCATGGCTGCTACTGCTACTGCTTGAGACCCCATTAATTATATACTGTTCTATTCCTGCTCAATCGTGGTATATTTGTCGCTCCGGCTTTGTCAGCGCCGCTGCTGCTGTTCCTGTTGTCTGAATTCCATTCAGATGCCACATTGCCCTTTATCAATCTACTTGGAAACGAGGTCAAACAAGGCTGGATGCCTGTGCGCAGCACTGTGATGAGTTTGCAGGTTGGTGTGGCGAGAGGGGTGGTCGCCGCGCCGAGCTGGCGCCACAGGAAACACCTCAATATCTGGGCAAGTACCTCCCCCACTGATTTGATGAACTGAGATGAATTGCCACATCTCTTTCTTGCAGTTGGTGCTTGGGCTTAGTCTAAGCCAACTGAATGACAATGTGCATGTTGCCACCTCATGCCACCAGTTTTCAATGCCTGTGTGCTTTAGCCTCTTACCGCTGGGTCGTAACAAGTTGTGAGAAGCTGCAGCTCTTTGCCAGCGAGATTTTTCCAGAGCTGCAGCTGCTTCAGGGAAGCCCGGAACAAATTGGTGGGACTGCGTTTGCAAGCGGGATGGCCACGTCGTCGTTGTAGTGTCGCCGCAGTTTGGACGGCAGCAGGCATAGATGCCGTTGCGGTGGCAGGAGCAGGATTCGCACTGCGAGCCGTCGTCGTAGCGGTAGTGAGGTGGCAGCTCCCCGCCCTCCGCTTCGATACTGCAAGGCGAGAGCCTGTCAATTTCCCACTACCTGTAGCGGTGTGTCAGTCTGCGAAGGCCCATCATGGGAGCTGGAGGAGCATGATTGAATGATGCCGTGTTGCAGCTCTGTCTGTTTCTACGCAGATAAACACTTGCAAACGACGACAGAGTTGTGCACTTGGATATCGGAGGTTCCAGTCGCATGACTACCATCTCCGCTTTCATGACTTTGGGTTGGATGTACCGGTACTTCAGAACAACCCCCGAATTGGCCTGGGGCCCTAGGCGTTTCCTAGGTCGCTTGCTTGCCTTTGGCAGGCAACTTGCAAGTTAAACTGCCTCCCACTGCGAGTATTATGGAGAACAGAGGCTCCAAGAGAGACGTTTTTCAAAGCATTTCGGTAACTGAGGAGAATGAAAGCTTGCCAGCTCAGCCGGAGAGGCAGTAGACCTGGCAGGGGCAAAACCCAAAAGCCAGAAAAGGCGGAGAGGAGAGTGCACGAGGGCACGGCAGGCGCGCCTGCATGATCCCCACGATTGCCCCAAGGATTCCCCCAAGGAGGATCAAGATCCACTCCTCAGCACACGCATAGCCTCATAGCCTCCCAAGGAGAGCGCCTCTGAGGGGTCCAGATGCCCACGGCCTTCTTTGGCCCCGGCATCCTCCTGAAAGACGGGGTGGAGCAGATTTTCGAACTCGTCGGCCGGCCTTCGGCTCAGTTGCTCGTCGCGTTTCGCCAGGTTTTTTTGCACGCTGGCACGGCACGGGGCCCCCGCATGCGCTGGAGACACTCCCTGTTTCGAGCTTCGATGTCCGTCACCTTCGAGATGTACTGGGCGGACACCTCCGACGGACACAGAGTGAAAGTGAGAGTGAGAGACGGAGACACGTGCTTTCCAGCTCCCAGGTTCGACTGTTCAGACCAACCTTCGGGAACCCTGACTCATGCCTTGGGTATGAGTTGTACGACAGCTATGATGGCTCTGATTCAACAGTCCATGGACAATCCTGTCCTTCCTTGCAAGGCCCTGACGGAAAATGTGCGTGACGACCTGTGACATCTGCCCCCAGGATGGCTACGGTAGCTGGGGCCTTTCAAGTCTACTCTGCAAGGTAAGTGGAAAATGGGATTAGGCTGAAATTAGTGTTACAGGAGCAGTGGTGGTAGCAGTGGTGGTAGTGTTGATAAAAATCATGACATTGCGAATTAGAGGAATCAAGGGATTCTGCTTTCATGGCTGGAGACAGCAGGACGCTCCGGTGGATGCATGCATGCCTTCAGACGCAGTCAGGACCAGCAAGGATACGAAATCAAGGCCGCATGATACTACAATGCAGACGCAGAGACGAACCCACTGCATGTGTAATGCATGAAGCTTTCCAGGGTCAATCAAGCTTGTTCGAAAGAAGACGAATATGTGAATATATATATATATATATACATATATATGCATATGATCATCACGCTCTCAAACACTGAGCTGTAGTCCACCGTGTGCCGTGTGCCCGGCAAGCAAAAGTATGGCCGAATTCACGACATTGTAAACATACATTATAAGTCATTCTCTCCTTTGCAACAGTCGGCCGAGGATCTTCCCGGAACTGGGGCCTTGTGAAGACGATGCGCGCGGTAGAGGCCGTCGACCATGGCGACCTCT